TAAAAGCTTCACACCTGTTGGATGGCAATTGTCAACAGAAACAAAATGTAAGTGTTGACAATAATGTGGAGGAAAGGGAACCCTGGTCCATTGCTGGTGGGGGTATAAATTGATACATCTAGTATGGAGACTAATATGGAAAGTCTTCATAACACTGAAAATAGAGCTACCAGATGATCTAGTAATTCCACTTCTGGGTATTTATCCAAAGAATTGAAATCAGAATCTCCAATGATATTTGCTTTCCCAAATTTATTGCAGCAATAGTCACAATAGCCAACATATGAAAACAACCTTATGTACATTGATTGATGAACAGATCAAGGAAATGTAATGTAGCTATACCATGTGGTACATAAGTGGACGTTATGCCAAATGGAATAATCCTGACATAAAAAGACAAATACTGTATGATTTCACTTATATATGGAATCTAAAGTAGTCATACTCATAGAAGCAGAGAACAGAATGGCAGTTTCCAGGCGCTGCAGAGAGGGTGAAGTGGGAGGTGATATCCAAAGAGTAAAATGTTTCAGTTATGCAAGTAAGTTTTGAAGATCTACTACACAACATAGGTCCTATAGTTAATAACACTCTACAATATGCTTGAAATTCTGTAAGAGAGTAGATCATATGTTTGATGTTTTTCCATGCATACAAAAAATAATTATAAAGGAGGAGGAGACTTTGGGAGGTGACATACCTGCCTATTGTCTAAACAGGGTGATGGTTTCACAGATATAAAAGAAAACCAATCTTTGTTTTCATTTTATATTACTATGGGAGGGTCACAGTTTTCTTTGTCACATATTCCAGTGCTACATGACTGTTGTAATTACAGAGTTAATTCTAATATCTAAAAAAAAGTTCCTCTTGTGAGTATTCTTTTCATTAACAATAACTGTTTCTGTTTGTAGTTATTATAATAATTCCTAGCTATCATAGTCATAGGCAGACTATGAATTCCAAATAAATAGTACACACATGTATAATATAAAAAATTCTATATTTAATATTTTATGCTCACAGTGAAAATTTTACTGTACATTATTGAATAAATACCTGTAAGATGTTGCTAAACATAAGTAATTAGCAGGAAATCATGTTAAACCCAGTATGTCAGATGAGTGCCCACCAGACACTGGGTCCTTTACCAACTTCCCACATATTCACTGGCTTTATCTGGAAAACAACCGAGGTGGTGGGCACTTTTATATCCCTGTTTTGTAGATGAGGAATTGAGACACCAAGGTCTAAGCTTATTTCCAAAGTGATACTGTCCATAAATGATGAAATCAGGATTTAATCCCAGGTTATTTGAGTCCAGAATCCATGCTACAAATCAAAAAGTCCTACTTCTTTCAGTGAGCCTTCTCCACAAGTATGCTACTGTGAACTCCCAATGCCATCAGTCCTGATTTAGTGCTTAACAATTGTGTAAAATGCTCCTCTGTGTCACTGACCCTTTTTTTATTTTGTTTTATATATTTTTGACATCATTTTTCATTTTTTGCACAATGCATGCATTTTCATCTTGGTTATAGTCCCCACACAATTCCTGACATGAAGTGTCATGCAACACTCCAGCATAAGCACACTAGACAATATAGGGACAACCTTTTATCACATAAACAAAATTTCTGTTTTAGAAATCTGTTTTAGAAAACAGAAGACATAAAAATGGAGTTCTCCTACTAGACTACTTTAATTTCTCCCATTTTCTCCATATTTGTTGCCCACATTAACCTGCCAACACTGGTAGATCTGTTCTTCCACTGCATTTGCACATATTCATCAACAGCAACTCCTTTGTAGAAAAATTGCATCTATCTTCCTCTTTCAAAAATCTTAAATGAAACCCAAGTCTTCTAGTATGTCATTTTCTGACAATGATTAGAAGAGTGTGGTGGTTTAGTCCACAAGATAATGTGAAATGTAAAAAATCAGTTCTTTGCCCTGAGCAAAGTCATCCATCTTTTTGTATAATTTAGTCTATTTTTCTATAGTGTTGCTGTTGCATCTCCACTTGAATCTGACTTACTATTTATGAACACCTAGGACTCAGAGGAGTTTCTTGCAATTTTATGTGTTTGTTGTATGCATGAAGAAACACAATCTGTGTGCAATTAATCATATTCAGAAATGCTTCTCTGATAAAATTAGGCATTTCTTAAAATTTACTAAGTATATAGCTTTACACCTGTGATCAGTGGCCATGATGGAAATTTATTTTGTAGCTTCAGAGGAAAAGTATTATGCTTTACTAAAAATGTGTACCATGTAAGATAAGCTATAATATAACAACTGTCCTTTTACTCTGACCTGGAAAGTTGTTGTTAGACATTTTCAATTATGTGTACTCACAGGTATGAAACTCCCTAATAAACTGTAGCATTTAGACAACTGCTAGAGCAATAAATAACATTTTAAAAGTCCAAAGTGATCTTTCAAATTCCTCCCTGCAAATGTATTTCCATTAAGACCAAAGATATATTCACAGCCTTATCTTTTATTGGTGAAACAAACCTCCTAGAATGGTAATTCTCACCTTTGCAGATGAGAAATTGAGGCACCAAGGTCTAAGCTTATTTTCTTTTTTTTTTTTTAATAATAAATTTTATTTTTATATTCCCCATACATTTGCAACCCCCCACTCTGACCCCAATCCCTCCCCTCCCGCCCCCCACTCCCCAAAAAGTGTCTCTGGTTCATAGTTTTTTGTTGATTTTGATTTTCACTTTCTTATAGTTATTCATTTACCTGGTCACTTATTTAAGTTCTCTAGATTCCTGCTATGAGTGAGACCATCCAGTGTTTTTCTTTTTCTTTCTGGCTTATTTCGCTGAGCATGATCCCTTCCAGCTCCATCCATGTTGCTGCAAATTGCATGTGTTTATCTTTTTTGAATGTTGAGTAATATTCCATGGTATATATGTACCACATCTTCTTGATCCAGTCATCTATTTTTGGGCATTTGGGCTGTTTCCAAAGCTTAGCTATTGTAAATAGAGCTGCTATAAACATAGGGGTGCAGGTATTCTTTGGAATTGATGTTTCTCTGTCCTTTGGGTAAATACCTAGGAGTGGAATTGCTGGATCATATGGAAGCTCTATGTTTAGTAGGTCCAGAAATCTCCACACAACTCTCCATAGTGGTTGGACCAGTTTGCACTCCCACCAACAGTGCAGAAGAGTTTCTTTTTCTCCACACCCTCGCCAACATTTGTTGTTGCTAGTTTTTTTAATATGTGCCATTCTCACTGGTGTAAGATGGTATCTCATGGTAGTTTTGATTTGCATTTCCCTGATTACAAGTGATGTTGAACTTTTTTTCATATGCCAGATTCAATGCTATTCCAATCAAAATTTCAATGTCATTCTTCAAAGAAATAGAACAATTATTGTTGAAATTCATATGGAATCACAAAAAACCCCAAATAGCCAAAGCTCTCCTGAAAAAAAAAAAAAGAAGGGAATGGAGGCATCACACTCCCAGACTTCAAACTATACTACAAAGCCATAATCATCAAAACTGCATGATATTGGCACAAGAACAGACATACAGACCAATGGAATTGAATAGAAAATCCAGAAATAAAACCACAGATTTATGATCAACTAATCTTTGACACAGGAGCAAAGACTATGCATTGGAGCAAAGAAAGTCTGTTCAATAAATGGTGCTGGGAAAACTGGGTCGCTACATGCAAAAGAATGAAGCTTGACCACTACCTCACACCATACACAAAAATCAACTCAAAATGGATTAAAGAACTAGACATAAGACCTGAAACCATAAAATACATAGAAGGAAATATAGGCGAAACACTACGTGATATGCACATCAAAGACATCTTTACAGACACATCACCCAAAGCAGTGATAGTGAAGGCAAAGATAAACAGCTGGGACTACATCAAATTAAAGAGCTTCTGCACAGCAAAAGAGACAATAACCAAAACAAAGAGAAACCCCACCCACTGGGAGAACATTTTTGCACACAACACTAATGATAAAGGACTGATCACAAAAATCTGCAAAGAGTTGATGAGACTCAACAACAACAAAGAAAATAATCCAGTCAAAAAATGGGCAGAAGAGCTAAAAAGAAACTTCTCTGAAGAGGAAATGCAAATGGCCAACAGGTATATTAAAAAATGTTTAAGCCTATTTTCAAAGTGACACTGCCCATAAATGATGAAGTCAGTATTCAATCCCAGGCAGCTTGCATCCAGACTGTGCTGCAAACCAAAAAAAACCTGACTCCATTCAGTGAGCTTTCTCCTTGGCTATAGGTCAGAGTCTCCTGAGATCTCAAATATTTTCACACCCAGACTGTGCCTCAGGCAAATTAAACCAGACCCTCCAGGCATCGGTATTTTCTAAACTACCCAGGTAATTCCAATGTGCAGCCTAAGGTGATAACCATTGTCCTCGAAATTTAGGGAAAAAGACCAAATATCCTGTTCTATGAGATAAGAACTAATATGTTCAAAACCTAAAGATTTGCTCATCTGCAATCCATGTACAAACCCAATTTTGAATGTCATCCAGCCAAATCAAGTTGTTATGATAGTGACATGGAGATTAACTCCTAAGGAAGAGTAAAGAGTGCACATAAGTTTCTAATGATCAAGGACCCTTTTTAGGGAGAAAAGGAGTGACAATGTGTTATCTTGGTATTGCCAGAATCCAATGGAATTGCATCTTAAAGTCCACATGCCTATAGTTCCGCACTCCAACTCTCCAGATTTTGGTTAGCATTTCTTGAATATGTGATAGGTCAGAAGTCTGTGTTTGGATAATATCATTATTCTATTCCAAGTTTCAATGTGGAAAAGGAAACAAAAACGTTTTATCATCTTCATGGATTAAGGCATTATATTTCTACTGACTTTTGACTTTTCCCCTAGATGTGTGTCTGATCTACTTCCAAATGAAGAGTCTATATAATTAGAAGTTATAGTCTTAAAAAATGGAATGAAAATGACTGCCCTTACCTTCCCTCACTTTGGTTCCTCCAAGGACTATTGCAGATATGCCCACAGATGAAGACAGGAGCCATATACAGATATTGATGATCTTTGCTTTCAAGGGTGTGCGAAAGTCCAAAGCCTTGACTGGGTGGCACACTGCAATGTATCGGTCCACACTCATCATGGTCAAGGTGAATATGCTGGTAAACATGTTATAGTAGTCAATGGAAATGACAATCTTGCACAGCACATCCCCAAATGGCCAGGAATTCATCAGATAGACGGTGCTCTGGAAGGGCATGGTGGTAGTAACTAATGCATCTGCTAAAGCCAGGTTAAATATATAAATGTTGGTAGCTGTCTTCATTTTTGTGTATCTAAAAGACAAGAAACAAGATCATTTCTCCTCATCTTCACATCAAATCCATGAGATAAATGTGCGGGATTACTGAATTTGCTTTTCCTTCACCTATTCTTTATATATTTATTGAGTGTCTAATATATAAAAGACCTGTTCTAGACACTAAAGGTAGTGGGAAGATCTCTTTTATTCTAGTGATTTTTCTCAGAAAACATAATTTTAATAAAAAATTAAAAAGTAAATAGCAAAAATACATAAATAGATAAAAATATAGATTTTTTAATAGACTTGGATATAATACAAGTCTTTTTTCTTTTTTGCAACTGGCCAACCAGAGTTGTTGGGCTCTAAGCATTTTTTAAATACTCCTCAGGGTAACTTGGAGAAAACAATCACTGCAATTACAGTGTTTTTTGGAAAATGCAAAATAGTTTTCTCCTTCAAAATGCATTCCAATTTCAACTGCTAAAATAAAACCAAGCTTGTTGATTTTTTGTTTGCCAGTGTGGCACAAGTTTTTAATTTTAAATGCATTATGTAGATAAAGCAGGTAGAATTCTACTCTTACACATATAATAGCACTAAATGAAATCTGGTACATATAGTTCTTTTTCTTTACTGATGTATACTTCTTTTTCTTTACTCTCATGTTGAGAGACATTTTTAAAGCACATAATTTGTTTCATCTTCCAATGAGGGGATAGTAATTTTCAAAATAGGTCAGAAAGGCTGTCTTTAAACCCAAATTATTCTTTCCATTTATTTCATGAAGTTTTAAAACAACTCCATTTTCAGCTAAAACTTAATGAAGTGTACTGTTTTACTTAGAGAATGCTTCCTCAGAGAACTACAGGGCATGAAAAAAATCCAAGCTATCAGCAAGTATTCAGAGGCCAAATGCTAAGACTTACTGGGAAAACCGTATGTTAATTACTTTCTAAAGCTGTGTAGACCTTATCACATTTTATTCAGCCATGCCTCATGGACTGTCAAGGAACAAAACTTCTTCAATGTTATGGCCTTCACTTTATTAAAGGTCATCTATAAGGAGCTGTTTTGTGGAAAACTATTATTTTGTTTAAAAAAAATCAGTGTCAGTGGGGGCCTCCTTGGTTGTGCAGGCGGTTGAGCACCACACTGTGGATCCTGGCGAGCCCAGGAGAATCCCATATGATGGGGCAGACCTCTCCTGTCTTGCCCGCTGCTCCCCTCAGCAGTGTATTTCGATCACTCTGCCTGTTCTGTTCCCCGCTCCGTCTCTGGTGATCCTCTCAACCTCCTGCGCATCTGGCCGATACCCCGGTTCTTATATAAATAAATAAATCTTTAAAAAAAATCAGTATCAGTGGTATATATAAATTTCCACATGAGAAACATTTTTTAACATGTAATGATAGAACAGGCTTTACTCTCATGTTGTCTTTACTCTCAATATTGTCATGTTGTCTTTACTCTCAATATTGCCTTCTTCCTTGGAGATCATGTGGTCTAATGTGAAGTCAGATAGTCCTGATTCCAAATGTTTATTCTGAGTTTCAGTTCCTATTAAAGAAAGGTTACAGGTAGTAACCAGTGGCACATGAGATAAGGCAATAGATGACCTAACTCAAATGAACTGAGATAAAGGATCATGCTTCACTTTCAGAGCCCACTCCCCTCCCGTGTGTCCCCTAGGGTTTATTTGTTTGTTTACATATTTATTTTATATATTTTTACATAATTTTTCATTTTTGCACAATGTATGCATTTTCATCTTGGTTATAGTCTCTGTAAAATTCCCACCACCCTTGTTTTGATCCTACTCCCTTCTTCCTCCCGTAGTGTGTCTCTGGTTTAGAGTTGCCTGTTGATTTTGATTTTTACTTTATTATAATTAGTTTTTTTTTTCCTGATCCTTTATTTGGGTCTTCTAAAGTCCTGCTATGAGTGAGACCATCCGGTATTTTTCTTTTTCTTTCTGGCTTATTTCACTGAGCATGATCCCTTCCAGCTCCATCCATGTTGCTGCAAACGCCATGAGTTTATCTTTTTTGATTGCTGAGTTATATTCCATTGTGTATATGTACCTCATCTTCTTGATCCAGTCATCTATTTTTGGGCATTGGGTTGACCCTCCTCTCTTTTTTTGTTAGGAAATGGATTTGTGTGAAGGCATTGTAAAGACAGGTACCAGAGTCAGTATCTTTAGGATCCCAATTTGATACTCCATTAAATAAACAGTGCTTTAATCTGGAGAGTGAAGCATTTATTTTAAAATATATTTTTCCTTACAGATTTTATCAAATGCTCTGTAAGTTTTCGGCCAATGCTCAGGGCATAGACTTTATGAAAGCATAGATAGCGAAGCAAGCAATCTTACAAAGAGTCAGCTGTTTCTAATAGGAAAGACTGGAAAGCTGTATGTTCAAATATTGTCTTCTTAAAATGTTTTTATATTTTAAAAATGCATTACAAGCTGACCTCTGACATTCTACTTCTTCAATGTTTTCTCCCCAAATCCCTGATACTAACAAAAATCTAGCAGACATGTTTCACTTCTGCTCTTGTTTGTGGGCCTGATATTATCCTCATTCCTTATGACATTAAATGGATATTCTCTGCCTTATACAGCTAGGGAAAGCTGAATTCTAGTTCTTGTATTTCCTTCCACCTAATAAACAGTGGAGAGGTCACTAAAAACCCTGAGTTTCAGTTTTGCAACTAAACAATGTGAATTTTATCTTATGGAGTTCCTGAGATAATGGGATACACTTACTCCAGAAAATATCTAATTTATTTCACATTTCCCAATACCTCTGTCCCTTCTGATATGGGTGGAAGCCCCTAGTTACCACACGAAGCAGAGGGAAACATGGTTTCTATTTAATACCTATTGTCATATTTACCAAATTCAGTTTGAATATGAAACAGTAAAAATAAAACCAGATACCTTACATGCTAAAAGACATGGTAGGAATGACATATGAATTACAATAAAATACAATGTCATCTTTAAATAATCTTAAGAAACAGTGATAACTTTCTCTTAGCTTTTCAAAAATATTATATATATATATAATTGCTTAAGGATTGAACTTACATAAATATAAAAATATTCAATCCTACTATCAGATCTCAGAATAAAAAAGATGAGTGCCAAATATGTCTACAAATTATACTAATAGTTACACTAGTCTCTTAGGAGCTACCATTGTGTCCATCCCCAAGGACTGAAGAAATCCACTAGGGACCTAGAAACACTGGATCTGCCAATATCCCAATGTCATTACATCATCTCCTATTTTCCAATGCTTCATATTGATGACAATACTTGTAATAACCATTTATTCCAGGTACTTTCTAGGTCAGGTACTCCACTGTCCATCCACATGTTTTATCCCATTTTGTCCTCATAGCTACTCTACGCCATGGGTACCAGAGTCCCCAATCTATAGGAGGAGTCACCAAAAATCACAGGTATTATGTAAATTTCTCAAAGTAATATAGCTATAAAAAAATTCCAGGAATTCAAATATGAGAATTTGATCCCAGTCCCTGCATTCTCACATCTCCCCAGCACCTTATAATGCATAAAGTCCAGCATTTTGACTTCCAATTATCTTATTTGATTCTCACAACAAGTACCATTAGAATTTGCCTGGGAGATTTATGCTTTTTCCCTGATGCAGCTGAAGAAAGTTAGACTTGGGCAAGTTAAGCGATTTGCCTAGAGTCAGCAGAGTAGGACTCAGTGGAGGATATGCAAAGGGCAGCAGAGCAAGACCACCCTTCTGTTGCTCTGCAAGACACATGCTTACAAGCCTACAATATTGAAAGGGAAAACTTAGCAGGCATAATTAAAGTAATAAATAAAACTGTGAGTTCAATGAATATTTATTGACAGTACTTTCTATGATACACTGGAATGGATGCTGTAAACACATGCTTTTAAGACTCTCACCCACAAAGACAGTGTGGTTGAACACACAGGTATTGTTTATATTTAACTAAATGAATGACTTGCTAGTCACTGTATGTCCACTGGTAAAAAAAAAAAAAAACAGGTAAACTTTCTTGGTATAATAGCATATGACAGCATTTTAATTTCATCTACACTGCTTTACAAAAAATTGCAAATATTTCAAGTGAAATGGCACCATCTGGGTGGGAAGTTTGGGCTTGGGTGGAGAAGCTGGAGGTGGACTGACAGCGAGTGGTTGCACTTTTTAGTGTACACACCACAGGAGCATATGGCAGTAAAAGACCAAAGTCTGTGGGCTGTCCTTGCTAAACTTGACAATGTTAACCTAGAAACGATGGTAGAGGCTATCAGGTAGGACATGATAGCAGGGGCAAGGGTCAACTAGGAAACTACAGTGCCCATTGCTGGGCTACATGGTAGAAGGATGTATCTAGGAATTAGAAATTCTTCCTACCTCATCACACCTCAACTTACAACCTTTCCGGGATAGTTTTCTTTACAGAGAATTAGCCAATGGCTTGTAAATTAGCAGTCATATATAGCTGTGTGGGATGGCCAGGGAAAAAAATTGATGTGCTAAGAGATTAGCAACAAATTTCACAAGGCAAGGCTTCTGCCAAAATGGGGTGCTGGTGATCTTAGGGCTTCTTGCCCTTAGCACGTGCTTAGATAATACACAGGCAAAAGGGATCATTCTTAAACCAGCATAATAAATCCATAATCTTGATGGTTAATCACCATATAGTTTTTTTTTTTTAAGTTTTATTTATTTATTTATATAAGCACTGGGTACAGTCAGAAGCGCGGGAGGGTGAGAGAATTCACCAGAGCCAGAGCGGAGAGCAGAACAGGCAGACTGACAAAATACCTTACTGAGGGGAGCAGCGGGCGGCAGGAGAGGTCTGCGTGCCATGTTGGACCCTCGCCGGCGGCCAGGGATGGAACCGGTGCTGCAGAGGCTGCGGGCAGCTTCGCAACCCAGCGCTCAACCGCTGCGCCACCAGGGAGGCTCAATCACCATATAGTTTTAAACACAAGCACAGTTTTGGTTTTAT